AATCTTGGCCTCCCAATAAAAGTTTTGAGTTTTTGAAGATTTCAAAATTATGTCCTACGTTATTTGGGGATGGACATATTTGATTCCAATAAATAACCCTGTAGGAAATAAAACTACTTTAAAAGCAATTTAAAAAGTACTTTTTTACCAACTTCAAGTGGTTGGAGTTCTTCCTTTTTTCATATAAGCAACTAACTTTATTAACATGGCCATGTCCTAGGAGCAGGTCAATTATCCGACTCTGCATTTTATTTCAACTAGTTTAAAATGCATTTGGTTTAAAGAACTTCAATGTCAGTATTTTTCATTTGAATACGCATTCGTTCTGCACTTCACAAATGCTTTTTCATATTTCGAAGCCAAAAAAAAAAAATTCATTTCAACATTTTGCCTCTGATGGGATTTGAACCCGCACCTTCTGGAAGCTAACAAATAACAGCAAGCACCTCTGCACGCTCAGCCACAGCCAGACATGTAAGTGTGCTTTCAAATGTTCAGTTTGAATTGTGTGCAAGCAGCAAGCCGATTGTCCGACTCTGCATTTGATTCCAACTACTTTAAAATGCATCTGGATTAAAACACTTTAAAGTCACTATGTTTCATTTAAATACGCTTTAGGTCTGCACTTCACAGATGCTTTTTCATACATCCAAGACACAAATTGTTTCTTTTGGTAAAAAGGGTATCAAAATTCGAAACATTTACTCACTTAACTTGTTTCAAAGTAGTTTTTCAATTAGTTTGATTTTAAAAAAGTCACTTGTTTCCGACTGGGAAATGATTGGCGCTTAAGCGGTTTTTACTTGCTTGGCCGAGATTCTCCTCTAATTCGTGTTCTTCTTTTTGATGTGATACAAATGGACATCTTCACTTTTACGCCTACACGTGGAGGTTTTATGTTGTCTGTCGAGGGGCGAACGTTATTTGAAAAAAAATTGTTTGATGTTGCTAGGCCCGAAAATGGAGCCATGGATCTCCCGAGTGGCAGTAGGTAACCTCTAAGCACTCGGCTCCGGCAGCAAGAGTACTACTCAAATCCGAAAAAAAGTCAGAAAAAATGCAATAAAAAATTTAAAAAAAAAACGAAATAAGACTAAACGTGATTTTTTTACTGATTTGTATTTTTTTTACTTTTGATATAAAAAAACTTTACTCTTGCACTAAGTGGTTGACGAGTGGCCTTCTGGATTGCCAGCACCTCCGTCGGACCAGTTATATGAATTAGATAAGAACCCTTAAATTTCTGGACATCAAACGACCTCGGAACGAAATGAGTTAGATTTTCCTACAGGGTACCGTATTTTTTATCTCAAACAGTTATATCCACAAACTCTGTGCACACGTGTAAATTTGAAAATCAGGCACGAGAAGAGTAAGCAACGAGCGGCAAGTTGAACCACGTCTAAATAATGCATAATTGATTTGACTTAAGGGTTTTTTCTCACCTTAAGCAGCAAATAAAGACATTTTCTATATATCACTTGGAAATGTTTGATGCAACATCCTTGACTATTGGCCAATTATTCGCAGGCACCCCACATTTTGAATTTTCTTGTGGTTTTTGCTTTTGTGTTGATATTTATTTATTTTTCTTATTTGCATATTCCACCATTTTGGGTGAGGTTTTGCAAATTAAATACTTCAGTCGCTTAAAATAAACTCGCGTTAATGTATCTGACACAGTTTCAGAACTTGCTAATTTCTGTCAATAGTCTTTTGGCCTGTTTTATATATTTACTCAATTTTGGGACAAACATTGAAAATATAACGGGACTACTACAAATTAGGCGGCTTTCATGTTTCTTGTTTTTTTTTTATCAATGCAATGGAGCTACAAAATTCATTACTTAAGAATATAAAAATAAAGCTTGTTCCAGTTCGCTTTAAGGGCCGTTTCGTTTAAAAATTATTTGTAGCCCTGGTACTGGTATTTCCGATAACCGATAATGGGGATGGTAAAGGCAATATTAGTTATAAAGATAATGGCAAATGTAAAATAATTAGTAAAGATAACGGGTAAATGTAACGCCTAAAGATACAGAAAATGAAGAAAAACTTTAGACATATAGACCACCAGCAGTGTTGATTTCTTACTACTGTTCCGTCTATTAAGTTATTTAATTGCAAATATTTGCGAGAAATCACTCGGGTCGGATTGGAGTTGTGGCTTCTGAATCTCTAGCAATACGGACTCACCAATTGAAATTTAGCCTTCATAAGCCCTCTAGGATTAACGAGTATTAAACTTCAAAGGCCCAAAGAGCCATCAATGCCACATAGACATCACTCAAGTATTATTAAGATTTCTACGAATATTTATCTTTGCCCCTAGGCTTATGCCGTAAATTTCCATGTCTTACCTATAAGCGCTGAGAGTTTAGTGCTAGAACCAATTAAATCTTTATACCACTGCAAGAGACTAATCTGGAGGCGTATTGCTAGAATGCATACCTACCAGCTCGCTTTGTTTCTTATGAAGTATTGTTGTAAAGCTTATCCATAGCCCAGGATCCACCAAAAAAAGAAAAACGAAGCTATGTGCCTATCAGAAGATCAAAATAAGGACAAAAAATAAATAAACTGAAATAACTTTTAGTCATGACTGCTTTTAAAAAATGTATGAAATAAGCTTTCAAAAGCTCTGCAACCGGGTAAGGCGCTGCACATTACCGCTATAGAGCTAGGCTGGTATGAGGCGCAACGCGAGCATGCCGGGGGCTAGAAAGGAAGCGTGAGATTATATTCGAACAAAGAGAAGCCGAACTACATACATATGTATGTGAGTTCGAAGATTTTGAGTTGCTGGTCGAAAAAAAGTTGTGTTCGAAAATTCTGCTAGGAAGCGCGACGAATTGCAAAAGGTATCAAGACAAGCATAAGTTCTGCAATAAGGAGATCGGGAGGATCGGTGGCTGACATCCATAGCACGCCTTAATTATGGAGGAATCTCTTACCTCCTGGTACCAGCTCCATCGGGATTGGAAAGAACTTTTCCGAGCAGTTTGATACACACCGAGGTTGACAGTGCGAATGTTAATAGTTCTCAAGATTGTTTTTTACAAGGGCGCATATGCTGCTCGACATCATCGGTCCTCGATGACAACACCGACGTTTTTTGAGATCGATTGAGCGAAAGATTCTGCGAATGCTATACTGTGGCTCATCACCGCCCACATAGATATGACGGTGAGTACCGGAAGCGATGAAACAATGAAAGTATTCGATGCGGTACCCACCTACAGACGACAGAGACTGTCTCCTAACTGCTAGATAGACCAGTTGGCTTCACTAGAAGGAATCAGAAATGACTGGCGTTTTTTTTTGAACTGAGCCAAAATCGATTTAGCGGCTAAAGCGCGTGAAAAGCTCATTTGAGAACTTCATACCTCCCTGAAAGAGAGCTTTTTCTTGAACACTTCTTTGAGCTTATAACTGCTAGCAAATCAATTTATGTACTTTTAAAAGTGATTGCATTTGAACTAAATATAAGTGTGTGCGTCTGTGTATTTATCGGCAAAAGAAATGCTGGTTAATCATTTTTGTTGATTATTACTATTTCATGCACAACAACGACAACAACAACACGACGAGCTCTTCAATCACTCAATACAATGTGCCGATGAGGTTGAACGCGATATCGCCGCCGTTGCCGCAGCCAACGTAATCACCAACACCATTGAGTGGGGATCGAGCGGCCGACTGCTCCCCTCACCGTTCACTGTTCACCCCTCGCCAAGGCCCCAACAAAAACCCATCAGCCTCAAGTCACAGCATAGATTTAACGTCAACAACAACAATAACAACAGCGATACTAAAACGTAATAACATTCCCAGCGTTCAGCGAAAACAATAAAGCTTCTCAAGCCGATTTGCTTGTGTAGGTAGTACAGGGTTTTTTTTTGCTGTTGTTGCTGTTCTTTCCTTTTGTTTGCTGGTTAGTTGGTGTTTGCAATCGTCATCAACATTGCCAGCGATTTATGTAGGTACGTATGTTTGCTAGTGTTGGTTGAATATAAATACCCAATTTGCCACAGGGCGAGGACGAGTTCGAATCGAAGTCATTCCGACGTTGATTTGATTGAAGTCGTTTGGGTGAACTCGAAACGGCGTCGAAACGAAGTCGGTTTTTCCACACAAAACGCAACGTCGTTCCGACTTCGTTTTTTCTCATCGAATCGAAGTCATTACGACGTCGGTTTGGTGAAGTCGTTTGGGTGAACTCGAAACGGAGTCGAAACGAATTCATTTTGTTCATACAAAATTTGTACTCTATTACACTCAAATTTAAACAGTTATAAAAATGCTTCATATTTTTTCTTTTAATTCAAATTGAAAAGTTTGAAATTTTTAGGAATGCTTGCTGATTTGTTTTTGCGCACTTTCTAATTGTTTGGCGAAGGTCGCCGGCGAATAAATTGTTAACCAGAATCAATCGGAAACGACGTCGTTACAAAGTCGTTACGAAGTCGTTTGGCAAATTGGGTATGTACAACAACAGCTGTTGACTTCGTCTCCACTGCACGGATTTCAGTACAACGAGCGTAGGCAAAAAGGCAAAGAGGGCAAGCATGGTTGGCGATTGTGGAATGGGGTATGGTGAGTGGGGCGCGCGGCAAGCAGTGGAGAATGGCAGCGATTGCGTTGTTGTTTTTTGTACTTTCAGATACAGTTTTCTTACGGATCGCACTTTAGTCTTGCAACGGACGGCGAACGGTGCGCGATTCAGCGCTACTCAAGTGGACGCGCGAGTTGATTCATTGAATTTATTTTTGCAAAATAAAATAGTTTATGTAGCTTAATTAAGAGTTAGAAAATATAAATGATCAAATTAAAACTACAATCGATGCAATTAATCGTATACATATTGCATTATTGATGAGCCGCAGTTTGTAAAGTGAACGAACGTGAAAGTGTCATTGCAATAAGTGCGTCTAGCGCGCGCGCAGAGGCGTGTAGTCAAGGCACTTGTATGTACATATGTTTATTTGAGGTAGTGCCGCGAAACTGGTTGATCCGCTGTCGTTTGCGCCGCCGCGCGCTGGCATAATGATCGCATGCGCGCGTACGCTCACGTCTTTGGCAAATCTGCCATCAACCGCGGCGTCCGAGCAGCATCCACTGTCATCGAAATTAGTACGTCTGCGCGCATTACTTGTCTTCTGATCTTTACTTTCATTTTTGATGTTTGCAAAAAAAAAAATGCTGGTGGCATTCGTTTGATGAAAAATGTGAAACAATGTGTAAAAGGCAAAATAATTAATTAAAGAAGAAAAAAACGTGTTTTAACGTGTTTAGAGTGTTGAATGAAATAAAATGTCAACGATAACTATCACCGATCCGCGCCTGCCTTGCTACTACTTACCTACATTTGTGCATAACTACTACTTGTATGTACATCTGATATTTACCAATTCGCGAAAACCGGTGACAGAAACTGTCACTTTCAATGCGTTTGCAGCAAAGATATAATCGCCGTTGCAAGAGCGATGTGTACATCTCTGTAATTACCAAAAGTGTAACGCGGTTGTGGTCATACATGCCAATCACCATTTGAATAGACCAGTTTATTCGTAAATGTAGCAGCAACTGAAAGCATCTAAATAATAGACCAACTAAATTATTCGCCGCTGCAGCCAAATTTGAATTACGTTAAATTTCTGGTTCCGGAAGCCAGACAGGAAATCGATAATCAATTTATGTGCATACTGGTTTGTGCATACTCTTGTATGTGCATGCATACATAGATATTCAAAATCTTCAGGCAATGGCATATTTCAATGCGTTTTAATTAGAAATCTATATAGATACATTTACTTACTTATATACATATGCACTTACTTAGAAGCCTGCGCTTTTGTTCGTTAATTTTTAAAGCCGGACGGTGTTGAAATTACATACATCTTTTTTTTCCGCTGAAATTTGCATTAATATTTGTGTTTATGTGAAATTATGGTGCGGCAAGTGAGTTTAAATAAACTGCATTGACGTAATTACTGAAGTGTACGCAGCTGCATCCTGTGGATTTGTGCAATTTATTTAAGAAGAAATTAACCAACCACAATGTAAGTAAATTTTAATTTAAGAATTGACTTACTGAAAATTCATAAAATTTTGCAAGTAAATTTGATAGACGTTACTAAATAGTTATGATAGTTGTTTTAAACTTAACTCTTCATTATGAAATGAATGGACAAAGTTTACTGAATAAAAAATCCTGATTCGTCAGCTGCTTTGTTGAAAACTTTCTTTTCCCCGCAGCTATAATTCTCCATATCTCAAATTAATCTGGAGAGAATCGTCTTCTGAACATTAGCTGGAAATGACAAGTAAAGCCAAATCCTTCTCCAACTGGTCTTTCTACCGCAGAGGAGGCCTTCGTCTTCTTTTGTTATGCGCAAAATACACCACACAAAAATTTTTGCGCAAATACAAATTGGTACAATTAAGATTTTTTCGAATTCCTATTCGATTCTTACATGCACTAGTTGGTATTTGCGCAAATATAACTGGAGGTTTGCGTTAACCAGACATAGTGAAAATGGTCCTAAGTCGCCGACTTTTTCAATCTTAGAACTGTCAACAGTGACGTGACTGCCGAAACGCCTTTGCTCTAACAGTTTATTGTTCCTAAGAGATTTAGTTCTCCAATTCTTATTAAATTATCCAACATCACGTTAAGGAAATTTCACGAAAGGTGGTCACCTCGTTTGGTATCAATCGGCTTGGTTGTGATGGTATGTGTCGATCCTCGTCTCGCATATATTGTTATGCTGGACTTACCGGATATAATATCACGCTGATAAGACGAAATCAGTTCGTAGATAATGAGGTTCAGCCTCTACGCATGAAAATACCTTATATAACGAGTATAAGAAGGCTATTTACCCGATTGGGCCGGCAGGCATACGTTGGTCCGACCATAATCTACATAAAAGTCAATGTATGTACGTTGTCAACGCCTCTTCTGGAGGCTCGGGATCATCCCAGCCACAGTTGTTCATTCGGGCTCGCTGAAATCCGTGGACTTTTTCAGTGGCGCTACTCAATGTACGGAATCTGTGGTTTCACTGCTCGCATATGTCGATGAGAGTCAGGTGAGCTATCCTGGTGTTGCTTGGGTGCAGCATTCTCTTCATTCTATTTTGATGGCTTTTCATTGACATCTTTGTACTATAAGTCAAGCCAAGTTTCTGGGTTCAAGGCACGTGTTTTTCAAGTAAACTCTGTGTCGAAGTACATATCTAGATATTAAGTCTCGGTGCTTAAAGGGAGGTATATAAACATTGTTAATTTTTCGAGCGGGTAGGTATTTCAATTGAGAATGAAAAATACCTGGTTAGATTTTATTTAATTTTTTATCAATTATCTTATCTCGTTTAGACACATTTCGAATGTGTACAAAATCAACTTAGCAGGAATTCTTTTCCAACTTCGAATACAATAGCAGCTTCATTCGAAAGTGATATGTAAAGAGAAAGAATTTAAGAAAATCAGTCTGAACTCCAAGTTGACATAAATCTTCCTTAATACAGAGAAGACAGTACCCGAAAATGCCTTTTAAACTTTTCAACGACCATTTATTTAAATCGAGTCGGAAATACGAAAATTATGAAGAAAAGCCGATTTTGTTGGTTTTTAGGGAATAACTAGAGCGGACACTTCTTGATGCTAAAATCCCCTTCTATATTTTGTGCAACAATATTTATGTAGCATATGTCAATAAACTAGGTTATCGACTGAAGAGTTGAGATATCAAGTACTAATAAAGCGTACATGCGTTATCGATGTTATCGATGTTCTTGATAAGCGGTTACCAAAGTTATTTTTAGTAGTTTATCGATTCGTAGAAACTCAATTGATTATAAAGTGCAAGCATACATCTGCATTTAGTAGTTTTGTATGGACTTACACTTAAGAAATTTTTGGAATAAATCGAATAGTTGCTCTACTATAAGTATTTGAATAATCGTTAAACCGTGATTACAAATACGTGGTTAGTTTTTAGTAGAGAAAAGTGAGGTTGCCAAAAAAAATCACTTCTTTCGAAAGACATTTGACTGAACAGTGATTCCTACTTATTTGAGTCAAAATAATAATTTTTTTTTTTGGATTACGACGAACAGTGGTCTTAGAGTAGCAGAAAGTACACGTTTTGGAATGTTTAGAAATAGCCAATTAATTTATTGCCTGTTAACACGATCTAAGGCTTTTTCCGGAAAAAAATGGCAACAGTAGTATTGAAGGGGCACCCGATGTCGATTTTGTACGAATCGTATTCTTACGTAGAAACTCGAACTGCGATTTCACGGACTCAACACTGGTGATTAAATGCTCGGTTTTTGTTGGATTTATTTTCACCTTTAATGCCAAGTTCGATAGTGTACAGGGATTGGCCGGATAACGAGAGTTTATTTTTTTCCTAGTCCTTTCAGAGTTCAGAACATTTATATAATTTAAAGCATTTTAAGCGGATCCCCACATAAGCTGTGGCAAAAAGAGGTACTTGGAATTCGACTTTCTTAATTCTTAAGCTAAAATACCACAGATAACCAATTACAATAAAATCGGAGCGCAAGTGGTACTTTTTGGCATATTTTATATGGGGCCTGTACCACTGTGCGACGCGACGTTTTTCCGACAAACGAACAACGGATATTTATATACATTTATAGATATGCTAAATAATCGAAAATATTTGGGTTTTATTTGCTTTAATTTTTAACATCAGCATGGAACTGCGTGACTTGAAGTACCATTGCACTTTCTGGCCGAAAAGAAAAAAAAAAAAACGAATTAAAGCTGCTACAAAATACGCTGAGCGTAAAAATGCTACGAGTATTCAAATCGCCTGGATCAGCAAAAATTAGCCACATAAAATTAAAATTGAAATGAGTAAACATAACATTATATTTCATATATGGTTTTTGGAGAAATTAATCTTAATTTTCGTCGTTGAAGTATGTAAAAATGTACAATAGAAGAAAGTTTTTAATTAAAATTTGTTCAATGACTCCACTGACATATCTACATATTTACCTAAATACGTAACTATGTTTTACGCTCGAATTCACGAATCATACGTTCGGTGTTTGCGTGTATATATACAAATTAGGGCGGTCCAAAAATACACAGGAAAATCAATTTTTTGGAATTATTTCCGGCTGCCATCGCCCTACTTTTTTTTTTAAGAAATCGGTTAGTATTTAAAGTTGTCCATACATTTTACACGTGGAAGATGCGTATTTTCGTTGAAAAAAATCGTTAAAAAATATATGTTTTTTATCGAATAAGAAAGTTTTCCTTCAGAAATTAGCCACTCCTTAAAATGATTCTTAAATTATCAAATTTGCGTGGATGCCTTTATTTTTTACAAAATTTATTTGCTTATATTTTAAAACCACCCTACTGTACTTCACATAGATAAATATGTATTAATGCACTTTTATTTGTGCTTCATGTCGATACGTTTAAATAAACAATTTATGAGTCATCATACCAAAAATATAAGTATTGCTGTAGATAAGAGACTTGTTTTAAGGGAAACAATTTTTAACGACGACTCACTATGGGTAATCATCAATTTTTTTTTTCTGTGTGTTTTTTATCTTTGAGCAAAGAACAACAACGGATGTAAAAGAATTATCCACCAGCATGATATAACATTCATAAAATTAGCGCTGATTAATTATGGAAGGGCCGTTGTGGATTGAGATGCACGAAGGCTAGCCTAGATATCTAACGTGATATATCTAGGAGGATTTGGAAAAAGCATAAATAAAATCATCTCCCTAAAATTTTAGCTGTTAGATATCATATGAGAGTTAAAAATCATACCAGATCGTACCGATTAGTATATGTTTCCTCTTTATCTTAAAAAGGCCTGGACGTCAATTAATGCGCCATTGCTATAAAAGTTATGATAACTCAACTTTGTTTGATATAAATACACTAAAAAAAATTTTCGTTTAACATAATGCATATTGAAAGAGGTAGCTAGTTTTCTCTCTTAATGTATGCTTTTTTATTTGTACTTACCATATCGCACGTTTAATACTACATATACAGAATTATTTAAAAAAAAAATTTTAATTTTGTGTGAAAACGCAATCAAAGTCATCAATCAATTCATACAGATGGTATACCAAAAGACCGATGGAAACACACATATCTTCGCCATTTTTGTGAAGTTGAGTCATATGTTAGGCTAAACGTATTCTGCTCATCAAGCTTATTAATTGTATTATGAAATCTCCAAAAACGAAAATTTTGAATTACAGCTCTTTTTATTATTAAACGTGCGATATGTGCCGCTTTGAACCGATTTAATTTTATTTTTTTTTTTAATTCGAAACACTTAGGCCCAATTTCAGCTGAGCTATTTAAGTAGAGATTGTTGATTAACTTCAAAAATTAATTTTCAGATCATATATATATTTAATCGGCACTTAAGTGGCCAGCCAATATTGAAAAATGAAACACTGTGTTTGTACCAAAAAACAATCAGCATAAAATGTAAAGCAAAAAAAAAAAAAAAAAAATAGCCGGTCTCTCATCTTTGTGTGACAAAATCAAGGCGCGCGCCACAAATCGAAGAAGAAGTTCGGCCAAACAGTAATATATCGTATAAACGTCAAACCATTATACTACTTGGAGACAGCCGCCTCCTACCATACAACTCGCCATATGTGATAATTGGCCTAAATACCGCTGCCAATGTATCATCTGATTTCAGATTGTATTTAGTATCTCACTAACCATCGAGATGAGTTTCCCTAAGATCAGGCTGACTAAATCATCTGCGTACGCAATAACATTAATGGCTTTCGAGGTTCGATAACAGATGAGTTAAGGCTGGTTTTCACTATGTCAAATTCAATGGCATTTGTCGACAAATAAATGAAAACACATTGCCAAATGGGATCAAAAAGCGGTTTAT